TATATTATATTTGACATTGAGATTTTGAGAACTCTTTTTAGCAGTCCAGTTATTGTGTTAAAAGAACACAACTGTTATCAACCTTTAAGTGGTTTTATCACTAGTACTTTTAATACTTATTCACATTCAGTCTAACAGTCATAAAGTATTATTAATACTTTGAATTGTCATTAAGACATCAGAAGTTTCTCTTTGAATATTTCTTAAATTTTATAAATACCTTTGAGTATTTCAAAAGTCCTATCAAAATAATAACAATATGTTATTTTTACTAAAATTACTTTGCTATAATTATATTACTTGTTTTATCATTAATACAGTTAAATTCCTCTATAATCACACATATTTATAGTCATACTTCTCTATAATGATCTTATTTTGCTTTTACATTTATATATAAATATATTAAAAAAAATTACTTTATAGTCACATTTTCTTTATAATCATCAAATTTTTCTTTTCTAAAAGTGATGACTATAGAGAGATTTAACTATATTAATAAATAAAATCTTTTCTAGTTAATATTCAATAAAATATTAATAAATATTATTTAATAACATTATAATATGAATTATTCAATAAAATATTAATAAATATTATTTAATAATATTATAATATGAATTATTTAATAAAATATATGATAACTAATATAGTAAAAGTTCATATTATAATAATATAATTATTATAATAAATTATGTATAACTTAAAATAATTATGTGATTTTTTATAAGTGATTAGAAATCAATTTTTTAATTTATTTAAATTCTGTTTGATTTTTGAAATTAAAAATATAAATATTCTGTACTATAATAGATTAATAATTATAAATTAAATTTTATTAATTAGAGTAATTAATATTTTTATTTATTAATTTGCTTATTATTATATTTACTTTTAAAATTTATATAATTAATTATAAGTAATTAAATATTTTTAAGAATAATAAATATTAAATTTAATAACAGAGTTTATAAATTCTTTTAGATATTATATTATTTTATTATTTTACAAAAAAATGTTTTTAATAATTACAATATAGAATGTTATATATCTTTTATAAATATATTATATTAATCAGTCTTTTAGAAAAGCAATACTTCAAAACTAAATTACTTATCTTATAAACTAGAATTTTGAAAAAGTCTGATATTACTATTAATAACCTTTACAAATAAATCTTTATTATATATTAGATAGTAATTATATTTATATAAAAAAGGATAAAGAAATAAGCAAAATATAAAATAATCTTTTATTATTATTATATATTAATCAAAATATTAAAAGATTTATTAAGAATCTAATAAGTTTACTAAGAACTTAAAAAAAATATGAGTTTACAAAAAACAAAATAAGTTCATTAAGAATTTTTATTATTAATCAAAAAGAAAAAATATAAAGTAATTAATTTTTCTAATAAATATACAGTAAGTTAGTTATTATTAGTAATAAAAATTATAACTAGTTATAATTATATTATAATTTTCTAATTAATTATTACAATTTATCATAATTCTCTGATTAGTTATTGCAAGTTGCAATTAGTAAAAATATTATTTTTAATTATTATATTTGTTAAGAAATAAAAGCAAAAAAACTTTATTAACACCAAGTTAATTAAAGATTATCTAAGAATATATTTATTTTTCCTAGCTAAGATATATATTATATTTATAATAATCTGATCTTCTTAATTTAAAACTAATTTATTCTATTTAGAATTAGACTTAATTCATTTTATAAATTATTTTGTAATGCTTGTCTCAATATTTTATATTTTTTATTTGAGTGTAATCAATTATTATTAAGCTAATTTGATCTTTAAAAATCAATTAACAAATATCTTTTATATTAATAATAATAATAATAATAATAATATGAAAATAATATAAATTAAATATAAATACTATAAAATAGAATAAAATAACTAATATAAAATATAATTAAATAGAATATAAAATATAATTAAAATAATATGAAATATAATTAAATAAAATAAAATATGAAATATAGAATAGATAATATGAACTAAAAGAAGTTATAATTTGTAAGTTACGTATATATTAACTATTCAATAGAACATACTTTAAATAACATAATATATTTTATATTAAGTATTAAAATATCACATGATAACACTAATTTAATTCAAGTTTGATTTGATTTAAGCTTGAATCAGACTCAAATCTGATCAAAAATTCAGTTCAAGTAAATGTTTAATAAGATTCTAAATAAAGTTATAGATCATAAGCAGAGCTACAAATTAATTAATATTAAAGATGAATATTCAAAAAGTTATATAGATTTAAAAAAATATTTTTGATTATTATAATTTTAATCTGCTTTAATTATGTTATAACAAACATTTATTTTTCTATAGTAACCATAAGCTACAATTCTAAATAAAGTTGTAATCAGAAATAAAAGCTACAAATTGGTATAAGTTAGTTACTATTAATAATAAATATTCAAAAAGTTGTATATTATTTATGATAAACTTTAATGAATATAAATATAAATATAAAAATACTTTAGTAAACACTAAGTAAACTTTTAATTCTTACTAAATACCATAATTGCACTTATAAATAAAGTTGTAGCTCATGTTTAGAGCTACAAATCAGTATAAGATACTATCTACTGATCTCAAATCGAACTCGAACAACAGTTCAGTTCGAGTTCGGTTCGACTTTGAACCTTTCTTGAACTCAAGCCAAAGTCTGGTTCGAGTTCAGTTCGAATTTCGAACCAGACTCGAACCCAGGCAAAAGTCCGGTTTGGTTTGGTTCATAGGAACATTAACAAGAGCTCTGGAACTTTTGTCCGAGATTATGAAGATGGAACCAACCATGATAAACCATCCTCGAACAATAAATCTCACATACTCGAAACGAAAAGGGAAAGTTGCGAGGTTTATGTTCGGTGTGTCGATTCGTTGTGGACCAGAAAAAATGAAGTATGTACAGAAACTCGATGCCCAATTGGCATCGAGGGTGAAAACAATGCGGATATTACAGTGGGGTTCAAAGCTTGCCCTAATCAAAGAACAATCGAAGATCTGCAAACATTCTTTGGAAAATTGTTCAGAATCAGTACTTTGGGAGGCACTACGTGGACAACGAAAATCCTGACAAAATCGTGTCATTTTGTACTCGCGCACCCTTATCCTACTCAAGAAATTAGGTGGTCAAAGAGCCATGTCTCAAGTATCAGAACGTGTTGAACAAGATGAAGTATTTCACGACAATACACTTATGGTAGTTGATACATTTGCAAGTGAATCTGATCGTTGTCATCTTGCATCTTCCATTGGTTGTAAGCTTCCTAGCAATAGTGATGATCCAAAAGAACTTGTATGCTATATGGAGTGTGTTGCAGAATTTGGCTTCAATCATATTATTTCATCAGGGAGATCAAGTATGGAGTGTCAAATGCTGTAGCCACTGGGGAATTCTTTGGAAGAGGCGAGATTGAACGATGGGAAAGATGAATTAACATGATTTGTGGAGAACGGTGGAATTGTAAGAGTTCAAACCACCACCTGAATGGTATGTGTGCAAAAAATATTATGGAAATATGTGCATTGGTTGCTGATATTTTTTACTTGTACTTATTTTCATCTAGTTATAAACACCACTACAAAAAAGGTAAGAAAAATAGGAGTTTGAGGAAGAAAAGACATCATTAGTATGATTAAGAAGTGTGTGAAATGTCATGAAAAGAACACATCCTTGATGTTACGATGTCAATGAAATAATTATGTTCTGCGTTATTTTGCGAAGTGCATATAATAGTTTTAGCAGTTTATTGAAAAATAATAAAGATGTATCTGTAACTTTATGAAGTTAACGAGTCTTCGTTCATTAAGAAAAATTATTCAGCTTAAAGAATTGTATTAAAAACTCTAAATTATTTTATAAAATAAAAATTGTAAAGAGTAAATTAGAATAACATTACTCGTAATGGTTATATTTTTTGACATATCAAATGGCATTCGAGTCTGTGTTGACATGGAAGAACATATCATGTGTTGATTTTTTAAGTATCCCAGAAATGAATTTTTTTCAGTTGATCTTTAAAAACTTCTTTTCATTAAAAACCGTCGGCCATTACTTTCCGAGGGGACTGTAGGAGGGGATGATTTGTTCTTTGGAGATCGACTAATTTAATAGGTCCACCTAGCCTCCAACCGTCCATTTCACAGGAATCAGACATATAATCATAGCATCTCTTTGATTAAACTAGTAAGACATTGGTCAAGCATTGATCATTGATGCTTTGCATCTCGAGCCAGGTTGACATAGGTGGGTATGAAGTGCCTCGATTTCTCATTTGCAATTCTCAGCACTCCTCGACGTCATATATTTAAAAGATGAATGTTTGGAAGAAAATATAATCAAGAGTCCAGAATATGCACACAAATAATCAATCAAGATTTTATATTACAAATTTATTTATTAGCTGTTAGATGTAGTTAAAATATTACAGAATAACGGGAATTATAAAATAATATGTATGATATATAACTATAATTAATTATGCGCGTTATATAATACGATTTTGAATTGTAATTTGACAATGATGGTGATTATAATTATAATTATATTACGATTAGTTGTATTACTCAATAAACTGAAAAAATGTAATAGCAGCACAAAGAATTATAATAGACAATTAATACAATTAATGAAAGCTATTCGACTATATAGAATGACTTTCCAATTTTAAAAAAGGTAAAAAATAAATTATATACATGAAAGACAAATTGACCATACACATATTTTGCCCGCAAAAAATAAATTAGATCCACGAAGAGTCGTATGCACGTTTCTGTGCTATTGTCAATTCGGGTACAACAGGATTGCTATTGCTTTCAGGTGGAATTTGAATTGCTAACGGAGGTATTTCGGGAATATAAAGAGACTCCACTTCCCGAATACTAGAATCAGACAATAAACGCGATTTACGTAAAACATTAACCTCAAAACTAAGATCAGAATCATCTTCATTATTTACTGCGTAAATAATATCCGCGTCATCTTGAGGACACTCAGAATCGTCATCTTCTTCATCCTCAACTTCCACTTCAAATTGAGTAGTGTCAAGTTCATCATATTGACCTTCGTCCAGTTCTTCTGCTTGATTGATACCAAATTCTTGTTGAAATTTTTGTATAAAATCACGAAATCTTTCTTCGTCTTTGTCATCGTCGACTTTTTCTACTTTCGTTGCGAAAGATGCAGCTTTTAATTTTTCTTCGTCATCATCAACTACTTTTACTTTTATTGCTAAGGATGCAGCTTTTAATTTCTCTTTAGCTGCCAATTTTCGTGCCGCAACTTCTGCATTCTTTGCTTCCAAAGCTGCAATCTTTGCTTTAATCGATTGAGGGGTTTCTCTGTTTGTTATTGGTGATGGTGATGGTGGTTCTTCTTCGACCGTTGTAATAGATTCTACCGGTTTATCTGATTTCTCTTCGCTTATTGGTGCTGGCTTTCCTTTTATTATAGCAGTTTTATTTGCGATATCCGGAGAGGTTTGAGGTGCAACTGAAGGTGAGATCAATTGAGCAATTGATTGTTGATATTCCATCTCATCCTCTTCTTGTGAAGATTGCAATATTTCAGCGATGGGAGATAAAGCAACTCGGAATGGCGTTGGAGTCATTAATTCCTCGGTTGGGCTATTATATTCGGGGGCATCATCCAAAGAGAGAGATGAAATTGGGCTAGGACTTAGAGCACTGTTTAACCGATCATCTTCCAAGAAAGGTATATTATCGACGTTATTTTGAGAAGTTCCAGCATCGACTTTTGGCGCTGCTTTTTTGCGGAATTTCAGCTTCTCATTGTAAATCACCACGTCGCCACCACCCGGAACATGTTTAATATTATCAAGGGAACCAACTCGCGATTTCACATTCTTGAGATCTAGTTTCGACGTAAAGACTTGAGTATTACCCTTTTTCGGAACGTAACTAATATTTTCTCGGGAACCGACTTTCGATTGCACCGACGTGAATTCAGGTTTCTTTGAGACAATTTTCACATCTCCGCCTTTATTTTTTTTATTATAAGGTTTAACATTATTGATTTTTGAATCATTTCGAGACGAAGAGTCAGAAGATGATGAAGTAGAAGAAAAATCGACATCAGAACTATTATTAGAAGAAACTATTTTACTTGTATCACCACGTTTTGGCATATACTTGATATTATCAAAGGAACCGACACGTGATCTAACTTTAGAGTAATCCAATTTTTCCGAAAAGACTTTCTTCTTCTCACTGTTGCTGGCGCTTTTTGGAGTATAGGAAATATTGTCCAGAGAACCTACACGTGATTTCACGTGGGAAAGATCGATAGGGGATTTGAATAAAGAAGTAGGATTCTGTGTCAGTTCAGGTTGAGAAGATCGTCGTTTTCGAATGGAAAGAGGTGATGGATTATTATTTGAAACATTTGATGTGTTTATCCGAGGAGGCATACTTTTAGTAGAACGATGTGTTTTACTAGGGGATTTAGTGGTGATGGTTTTTTTTGAAGAAGATTTATTTGCTAATGATTTAACAGGGGATACTCTGGGTGCAGCTGGTAGAACAAGGGGATTTGAAATATTCTTTGATAATGATGATAATGATAATGATCGAGTTTTTGTCGTTGATCGATTACCTAATAAACCATTTGAGAGTCGACGCGTCTTTTTTGGTGTTAATGGCGTCGGTGAAGTTGAACTTGATGCTGAGCTCGAAGCTGAATTTGGAGTCGAAGTTGAATCTGAGGTTGAAGTCGATTCTGATTTTCGAGACCTTGGCGGGGTCACTGGAGTCAACTGTGGTGCTATTGGCGAAACTTTATTAGATGAAGATGATTTTGTCGATTGTGTCGAAGTTTTTGTCGCTCCAATGGAATGTTTGACACCTGGAGTCGTCTTTGGCGTGTTTAAACTCGATAATTTAACAGCCCCTAAAGTTTAAACACGTTAATTACTTTCTTCGATAAATAATTACAATGTCTTTATCAACTTACCACTGAACGGAATCCGGGGTTTGACAGCAGATGTTGGAGTTCTGGGAGACTTTACCGAGTTCACTTCAGTGTTGTTGTTTTCTTTCATTATTTCATTAGTCGTGTTCATTTTTTTGAGTCCTTTTTTTATTGGCGAGGGAAATGGGTAAATTGGTAAGGGTGATAGTTATTATACTTCAATTAAGTATTAGTAGGCGAGTGTGTAAGAAAAATGTATGTATTGCATATAAGGGGTATGTTTAAAGCAAAAGAAAGAATTAACGAGCGTGTGAATGAAAATAAAGAGTGTGGGATGAGAAAGAAGGAAAAGAGCGAAGGAATTCAATTAATTATTTGTTTCTCTCCGGGAAAATTAAATAATGATGAATATAATGACTTACTGTCTGCCTGTGCGTCTTTATAGTCCTTGTACTATCGCTATATATTAATAATAAATGTTGTATTTTATGTATTGATTGATTGATGTATGTATGCAGCTGTACGATAAAAATTATATAGCGTACCTTCTTTTGACGGTTCGTTGGTTCGCTGTTTTTGTTTCGTTTCGCTCGTGATTATTATGTTACGTTTTTTTTCGTTCTCCTTTTTGTTGGATTTTTTTTTGAGATTTGATTTTCTTTGGATATTCGTGTTTGATATTAGTATTAATGATATTGACGTTAGTGTTTATTCCTCATGCATTTTGTCGCGTAGTATATGTAAAAGTGAATGAAATTCCGGCGTTCTTGTGCTGTGCTTACCTTTACTTTTACTTGACTTGTTTCTTTACGCTTTTTGATACAAAGAAATATAAATAATACAGCGCTTTATTTTTACTTGACTTGTTTCTTTACGCTTTTTGCTACAAAGAAAATATAAATAATACAGCGATAAATAAACACGCGATTAAATAAATAAAATATGACGTAGTCATAAGAAAACATGGGCATACAGAAAATATAGATAAAAAAGTAGGAAATATATATTTTATAAAAATACAAGTTTACAAAGTAAAAAAAGGAAAATGTTCAGGTCTTTAAAAAAGTTGAAATGTATCGAAAATGAAGAAAAGTACCACTTCGATTCATCAATAACATTAAATAACGCTTTTTTTCGAGAGAAAAAAAGGGGTAAAAATGTTCTGAGATTTCGAGTAACAAGAGTAACAATAAATCAAATAAATCAAATACCAAAAACAATAAAGAATTTCAAAGAATCAAAAACAATCACAAGTTGATATGAATTTGGTCGGCCTTTTGCTCGGGTACAAGAACATACATATATACATATATATACGAGTGTGCGTGTATGTGCGTGCCAAACCGGTGTCAGCCTGACACTTTGTAGTAATTCGAATTCTTTTGCATTATTTATACGATCGATGATAAAAACAAATACCAACATCACAAATAAATTCTTCAAACACATCCAACACACACAGTAAACAAAATTACCTGAATAAAGATACTTTTTTTGGCGTTTACATTATTATCGTTGTTTATTTACCTCTTCCTCTTTTACCTCTGCATCTATTCATAAAGTCGAAAAGTAAAAATCTAGTTTCACACGTCGATTAAAATTTTTCCTTCCATATCGCGTTCGTAAAATAAAAAAGAATCGCACAATCCTATGATGATGCCCATGTGGCAACTTGGATACATGTTATACAGTATATTATATTACATCATTTATGTAAGCTTATATTAAAAAAAGAACCAAGAAAAGATTATTCGTAACACCATTAATTATGTATGAACATAATAATTAATTTTAAAAATATAAGCTATAAAAATGATTTTTCTATAATTACAAGATATGATCTACATTTACAACCAATTCCCCACTCTAGTTAAAATAAATACCAATCAAATAACTATAAATAAACTTATTCTACTTTAGGAGTTTTCAAAAGAGGATCACTCATTTTGGCAATTACTCGATCCATGCTCTCTCCGCCATTACGCGCTGGAACATTTTGTAGTCTTTGATGTGGCAAGTATTCCGGATAGTTGACCACAAGATAATTGATCTGTTATATAAATCAAGTAGAAATAATTGAAAATTAATAATTGTGGAGAAATACCAACACCCAAACATAAATACTTGCAATTTTTTCTCGAATTTCTCCTTTTAATTTATTTCCATGTGCGATATCAGCTGCCTATTAAAAATGGAAATTACCAATTATTAATGGATTGATTCATCCGTTCATAAAATTAAGAAAATAAAATCACATTACCGTCACTTTAGCACGTAATTGCAAGAAATTTTCTTTTGCATCAAAAATCTGCGACAACACATAAAAATCAATAAAAGCTAGAAAAATTCCCTCAAAAATAATAACAAAACAAGAAACAAGCATACATCCAGGCTTCCGTTACGCTGATCCCAATGTTCACTGGCTTGCAAATATTCCTGTAATTGTTTACGTAAATCACCCAACGGAACACCGTAATCAACAAACAAGTCAAATGTCGTGGAGACACTTTCTCCATTACGCGATAAATTTTCAAACGTGCCACCGATTACTCTTGTAAGTGGAATTATAAGGTGTCTTTCGTCGCCGGTTTTTACAACAACATATTGTGCTTGAATTTCGGCTGGTTTTTTTATTTAAATAAATTAATTAATAATAAATTTCTCAAGTTCTTATCAATTTTAATAATGTCATCACTCACTAACTGTTCCGGTTTCACCATCAAATTTCACAACATCATCAATAAGTAAAGGTTGTGTCAATGCGATTTGCAAAGACGCGACTAAATTCTAAAAATTACATGAAAATTCAAAATCAAAATCCAAAAAAAAATATGCGTCAAAAAAAAAAAACCAAAAAAAAAGAAATACCTCTAAACTTGGTTTAAGAGCCAACCCAAGGAATAACGATGCGACACTAGCACTAGCCAACAAAGCTGCTCCAAACTCTCTAGCATCCGGAAAAGTAAACACTATACCCGCAGCCCCAATCATAAAAATTAACCCATACAAAATTCGCGTGGACACCACTAATTGCGTTCCCAATTTCCGCGCATGCATATCACTGTCAACCTTTTCGAGTTCGGGATTTCGTGAGAGTGCTCGTGAACCTGCTTTTACCACGCATATAGCGGTCCATGTAATTAATCCGATGAAGATAAGTAGAAATGCGTGGTTGATTGGACTTAGCACTGATGGATGTACATTGGTGACGAATTGAAGTGTTAATAGAATTGATCCTATGGGGAATAATACTAATGTCGGCTTATAACTATGGAGAGAATATTTATTTTAGCACATTTACTTTAAAAGAAGTGAATAGAAAATAAAAGAAACTCTACTTACCATAATTTGACAAGTTCATTATCGAATTGGAAGCGAGACATCTTAGCCACTCGACTATCAAAAAAATATATATATAAAATTTAGCAACCGAAATTTAAATAACTTGCGAAACACTAGTACCTACGTGAATATAACAGTAAGAATAGAGTGCACGACAATAGAACCGACAGCGACACCTCCAATAACAATCAACGGGACAAGATGGTTGTTATCACCAAATGCGAGGGCTTTGACATCGTAGCTTGTATCTTTAGTGGTGCTTGTAACATTAGAACTCATATTTCTTGAACTTTTTTGTTCGTTAGTTCCGTTGTTGGTTTATATATTTTGTAAAGATGAAAATTGTTATCTATGAAGTAGTCACTTTTTCCTTTCGTAACGTAGCGTAGCAACTTGAGAAAAAAATTGAAAATATCAAAACTCTATAGACTGTAATATATACACAAAGCTAACATATTTTGTTTTTATTATTGTGTTCGCTTCTTTATAATCAAACATGGTAGATGGCGATAAAAATAAAATGTATGCATGAACAATATGCATGTTTGTAACGCGGTGGGAAAATATCCGAACAATTAAATTTTTTTGAATTTATTGAATTGATATAAAAGTATCAAAGGTTGTGTGATGGAACATTCATTTATTAGCGTGTAACAGAAATGATAATTGTTTATTTGCTGATTCCTTTACCCATATATGTCGATTGTGTACCGTGGATTCTCTTTCTTTTAAATACGTAAAGCAGCATCTTAAATAAAGCAGCAGCAACTCGCGTTACGAGTCTTTTTTTTTAACTTAATTTTTTTGAATTTTCGTATCTGCCATGAGTTTACTTCATTCACTCGAAGGTCTCGCTGGCAAAGCTATTAAAGCAAAGCTTGCTGCCGCTCAAGGTGGAGGTGATGATGACGAAGAGTATGAGTCTGAAGAAGAAGGTATTTGAATATTTTTTAAGATATCAAACTATCAATTTAGTCGACACAATAATAAATGTATTCCATTATAATGTTATATTTATATGTATAATCATAAAATATAATGGCTGTATGTTCTATGAACATATTTTTATTCTAATTATTCAGATATCAATCTTAAAAAAGTTCAAGAATAATTTAAAATAATAATCTGCAAATTAAGTTAATTCACCAATTGAATTGATTTATATTTTACTGACTAATAAATTTTAATTATAAATTAATTACCTTTGCATCAATCAATTCAATTTAATTAATGTAACTCTAGCAAGACCACCACAAAAAAAAGGTTTGTTTTTTAAATCAAATAAAACGATGCATATATAAATGCATGCATTGTGAAACTTATTAACTCAAACGATGGTTTTTTCTTTATTATTAAGGACGTACACCAGATGTTGCCGATGCTCATAAAATCGCCGCTGAACATTCCGGTCATGATGAAGGTATTCAGATAAAAGTTTAAATTAAAAAAAATTTCAATCAATTAAAATTACAATTAAACTATTTTATAATGAAAATAAAGAACTCTTCGAAAACGCGCTAAACAAAGCCAAAACCAAGGTTTCACGTGAAGACGAGGAGTCCGATGACGACGTCGATGCTGAACATTACGAGAAACTTCATCAAAAAGTTTACAAGCAAGCCGAGAGAAGGGAACAACGAAAACAAGGGGAAGAGGAGGAAAGTGAAAGTGAAGAGGAGGTAAGATTATCATATTATTATATTGCTTTTTGTTACGAAACTAAAAAATATATAATAATCTTAATAACAGGAAGAACACTCGTCTGCTTCTGGTCTTGGTGGAGCTGCTGCCATGCAAGCGTTAAAGATGTTCTCTGGTGGTAGCGGAGATGGCGACGGCAAAAAAGAAATGCAAGCGCAACTTGTTGGTTTGGCGATGGGCGAAGCTGCAAAATTATGGGAAGGTAAATAAACAAATTTAACGTTAATCTAATTTAAATTTTCGATAATCATTAAACTCCTGATTTTTGTATATAGCACGAAAAGGAAAAGAAGGTGGTGGTGGTGGTGGTAGCGGTAAAGAGGAGGTCGTCACTCAAGCTGCTACTATGGCAATGAAAATGTTGATCGCAAAGAAAAGCGGTGAAGGTGGCGGTGGTGGTGGTGGTGGCTTGGCTGGTTTGGCTTCAAAGTTTTTGTAGAGAACACTCCAGTTTTATTTATTATTATCTTTATTGAAAATATCTATTTCGGATTTTGAGTGTTTACAAATGTATATGCTTGCACAAATGACTGTATAAATGTTGAGATTAAATTTATATCTTGCCTCGAGACACTGACACCACCATAACTTGTACATCATCATCAATTTTCGATATAGATGTACCAATATTTGGTGGCTGATTTATTAGACAAGAAAATCCGGACGTCCTCCATAATTTGTAAAGAAGGGGACAAGTGATTGCATGATTAGAGGAAGTCTTTGAAGAGTATCCCCAATTTGAAGATTTAACACAAAATATTGCTGCGCAATTTTATGAAAAAACGATTACTAATGGTAATATCTCGATAATAATGATTCTAATTGGAGACATGCTAAATTTTTGTTTTTTCGACTGCTGCATCCTCTTCGTACCTTATCAGAAATTTATGTTTTATTGTGATTTGTACAACTTTAAATTATTACAATGACTCCGATTAACAAGAGTCTTAAATATTAATTAAATGTTGCTGCGCGAGTGATCCTTAATCCATTTCGCTAAAATAGGTTTTTGATAATTGGCGAGATCTTTCATTAGATTTTAAAAAATTTTCTTGATGGCGTTGACTGGTGATGACTTGGGGTGTTGACACGTATGATCCTCGAAGATGCACTCAAACATGTATTCAATTATTCAATCGTAATCATTGCTTAGATCGAGGCTTAGTACTAATACCGAATCAAGCCGGACTTAAATTGTTATATGACTGTGTCACCAAACAATAAATAATGAGATTTAACAAATTCACACCAATAGTGCTTTTCTCGCAACTGTCGCTTCCAGATTAACCAAAGTCCTTGAAACCAGTAATGACGCGGGTAAAAAACAACAACAAAATGTCAAACCAAGCGCAAACGCGATAATTGATATGGTGAAAAATGTGATTGACATTGCAAATTTTATTGTGGTGAAGTAAAGAATGCTGCGTAAAGTGAATTCGTCACTAAGTAGAGAGAAAAAATGCGTGATAGCATCTTGTGACGTGTGTGTCGCAAGGCGGTAGGTTGTTGAGGGAATATGCGTACGTTCTGTGGCGTGGTTCGATATCGAGTTTAATGATGCAAGTTCTACGCGAGCTAGCATTCTAATGATTTATGAAATAATTGATTTAACTATTTGGGAGAAAAGGGGGAAAATTACAAAAATAATAATTACCTCCAACTATAAATTGCCCCCAACAGAACCACATATCCAACTGGTGGGATAATCAACAACACAACACCAGTAACAAGAGTTCCAATCACCCAACTAAAACAAAAACAAGCAAATGCCAAATCCCAAAGCAACAAATAAATCAATGCCAGCCAATTTCGCGCCACAAAAACTGGCTCAATAAAAGAATGTTGCGTGTGAGAATAGTACAAATCATCATGATTATGATGACCGGGATAGTATATTGCAGTTGTATTTGGATCGTCGGGTGGAATCATGAATGGAGAGTACTGGTGATATGTTGTTTGTTGTGACGATGAGGCTAAAGGTCTTGTGTAATTGGAAATTAAGGAAGCAATAGTGTTGGTTGGAGAAGTACTGGATGTGATATTATTATTGTTACTAATACTGGCAGCAAGTGCTTCTTCGTAGCTGGGTGGAGCTTCTCCAAGAACATTATTTGTATTCTCTTCTATTAATTCTGGTATTAATATTGACGTACTGGCTTCTGACTGTTGTTGTGAGGACTGTGAGACTGGTGCAGGTACTGACTGTTGTTGAGAGGACTGTTGTTGCTGCTGTTGTCCTGATGTCTGTTGAGTCTGTTTACCTATTTGTGTCATTTTGCAAAAATTTATACGTATATGTGTTCTTTGGTCAATGAGGCTGATCGACTATAACGATTAGTCGATTTCTGGTGTAACATTCTATATTTAGTAATACAGTGTGTACAACTTAGTTCCAACCACTAAACTTGATAAAATTCAAAAAATAATTTTTAATAGAACAATAATAATTTAAAGTTGAATAATTTTACTATTAAACTAATAATTTGATTATCTACACATGATCAACATATATGATCATGTTCATTGCTAATTGGTTAATTTAAAAATAATATGTTAATTAAACTTTCTCTAATTGTAACATTAACTTTTCAATATAATACTGTCACCATTCACTCTTTTACTTGATTATCTGACATGAAATATTATCAGATCCCAAGTGATATTCAATCAATTTCTATTTATAAATATTTATTTATTCATTTATTTATTTATTTTTAATTATCTTTTATTTACATCTAGTAATATTATAAATCACCAATCATTTTATTTATTTATTATGCAATTTTTATTAATTATTAATTATTATATTTTATTGGTTCTTGATTTCTAATTATTAATCTATTTAATTTTGATTATTAATTTATCTAATTTATTTAATGTAATGTCAATATTTCGCTAATTTCAATTGTAATACTTAGATTAATTTGTATTATATTTATCATTTCTTGATATTATGCATATATAACTTTATTATTTTATTGGTTCTTTACATCGTTACAAATCTTATAGATCTGTATTACTTTAATATGTATTTAAATAAATATAATTTAATATAGAAAATTAGATATCTGGTACTTTATCTTTGATCTTGACAATAATAAAAAATAGATTAGATTGCTGATTATTCTAATTATCTTATTCTTATTTAATTTCTTGTCTTTCTTGTTATAATAATTCATTATGTGTTAAATTATTATTCATATTATTTTTAAAGCTCTACTTGTGATAATTATAAATACAATCTTTGTCACTTGACATTGGAACTCATATTTTAGAAAGACTTATATTATATACTTTTACGTGAATACAGTCACTATCACCTATCTCGTGAATATCTTCATCAGTAAAAATCACAGACTGGTGATAATATGATTTATCTTATATTAAGTGTTAAAATATTATATAGTAACAATATTAAAAATTTCAATTTATTATTTTTGATATGAAATTTTGCAAAATTTTACTATATTAACATATTTTATAATATTAAAAAACTTATTTTTAATATTCTAAAAAATATATTTACAAATTATTATAATTTTTAAATAATTTTTCATTAAAATATTACTTTTTTCAGAAATTATAATGACTAACAAAATTATAAAATCACATGTAATTTTATTAATAAAAATTAAAATTTTTGTCTTATATAAAAGTTTTTTATTTTATTATTATTTTTATATTAAAATAAAAATTATAAGTTATAGTTTAACATATATTTTTCTGGATTTTCTAGATTTTTTTTTGATAAAGTTGTTCTAATTGCAAAGTTATTGCAAAAATTTTTTATAATTAATTTTATATTTTAATTATAAAAAATTTTTTGCAATAACTTTGTAATTAGAACAACTTTATCAGAAAAAATCCAAAAAAAAATATATATTAAATTATAACTTATAATCTTTATTTTAATATAAAAATAATAATAAAATTAAAAACTTTTATATAAGATAAAAATTTTAATTTTTACTAATAAAATTACATATATGATTTCATAATTCTATTAGTTACTATATATAATTTTTATTTTAATATAAAATAAAAAATATTTATTTATTAATAAAATTAAAATCTTTTATATAAAACAAAAATTTTAATTTTAAAATTACATGTATAATTTTATAATTTTGTTAGTTACTATAATATTTATTTGTTATTAACTTTTATTATTTTATTATTTTTAATCTATAATTTTTTTATATAATAAATTCAAACTAATATATATGTTGTGATCTAAATTACAATTTATTCCAAATCAAAATCTAAACTAAATATAGTCTATTTTCCAGTACTAATCCTAACTCTTATCCTAACTCTGGTTATATTTCTATTCTAATTTAAAATATTATAAAATATAAAATTTATAAATTAATAAAGATATCAGAAATATGAAAAAGATGCAAAAATCTAATACACTCAACAAAAAATAATATTATATTTAATTATCATTTCTAACTATCATACCTAATAAAAGCTCTTTGAAAATCAAACTTATTTCATTAAAAACTAATCTAGTATTCTCTGACTTTTTGAATTGGCAAAAGTTAAAAGATGGGTTCTGAAACATATAGCACAGTTTAGGTAAACAACTGAAACTATAATTTCCGATCTCCAGGATCCATCGCTATTTAAAGTTGGAATTAAAGATTATAGTATGCTGTAGTTCATTTTGTGGTTTAAGAATTCAATAAATTAATAATGAGTAGGCCTTCTATATTTTTCCCCCGTTCAAGTTTAGACAATTCTGCATTTAGGCATTTTTGAAATCGAATCTAATTATTACTAAATACCTAGATGTGCTAGATATGTGAGTTTATACACATTCACTTAAGCTTTTAAGATGATATAAATTTCATTATGAGGTGTCCGAGTAATTTTGTCAGTGAGCGTATTAAAAAAAATTTAACAATAGATTCCGAAAAATCGGTAAATTTACACATGATTCCGAAAAATCGGTAAATTTACACATGATACCGAAAAATCGGTAAATTTACACATATACGTAAATAGTACGGATCATTAATTAAGGAAAATTACGATTCTATGGCGGAATTCTCGTTCGAAAAGATTGTGGTGGCTGTGGCATTATTTTCGCTGGCAGTATTGAGAAAAAACTGCGAGCTTAAAGCTTTTAGGGAAGTTGCGAGATTGCATTAGTAAAAGCTTTAAAGCGAAGCTGAGAGAGCAAAGAATTTAGAAACTATTTAATAAAATTAATTCATTGTTTTGATCATATATTTATTTAATTTTGGACGCTCCCGATTGATATCCTATCATTTTCTAACCAACAATAATTCAATATGTTTAAATTTAGGTTTGAAAATAATTCTATATATAAGAGGAATTACCGATTTACGAACAATGGTTACATCCCATTCAAGATGCTGTTTTGGAATAGTCAACTTGAACTTGCGTTCCAATAGACTTCCAAACAAACTCGAAACACTTATTCCAGAAGCTATTCTTTCATAGAGATGCTCAGATGTAAAGGGAAAAGAAACCAAAATCTCATCATCCATAGTCTCAACGTTAGGTTTGGTCTCAAGACGACGATCGAACGATATCGGTGAATCGAATTGATAACGAGAAGGGCATCTGCTAAGGTCAATATAAAAGTTTCTGGATTCAGGAGAAATTAAGAACATAAAGCCAGATGCTTGCTGATGAATTCCGGCTTGAAGATTTACTGTGTGTTTTGGAGCCCGAGCTCTAAATTTGGATTGGTCAAATTTAAAACATCTAGAAAGTTTTTCGGAGGCTAGAATTTTATTGATTAATGCATCAGTAATGGAAATTTCAATGCGAGTATAAAAGGGTTTGTCGAGTGCTCGAGTGTTGTTGGACATTGCTGAATCAATGTTAATTGCTTTAGAGTTCGAGACTCTTGAAAATGCTAGTATTCCAAAAAAGAAAAAGAAAATCAAGAAAGCCATTATTAGTCAAATGATATTTTGTTTAGTTTGGTTTTTTTTTTAACTTGAACGAGGCACTAACAATTGCCAGCTCTTCATTTTATAGTAAATTATATTTCTTATTTTAGAATATAGGTAATAAATCTTTAATTTATAAAAAATAGATAAATTTACGATAAAATTTAGCCAAAGAAAATTGGATAAATTGCTTAATATCAATTTCGTTAGATGAAATATATATAAAATTTGATGAAAAGATTTCATGTGAGATTAATTAAATTATTTGAAAATAATTATATATAAACGCGTTTTCTTACCTTGCTACACCAAAGTTAAGCGAAACAATATAAGTAACATATTTAGAAATTTTTCAGTCTATTACCCCGTTATTTTTTCGCGTAATTGAACTCTTTTTACGTACATCTCTCCTTTTCGTTACTTCCAACAGCACCAGCTGAAATTCGAATAAAGAGTACAGGTAGAAAAGAAAAGTTTACTTATGTTTAACACACTCGGATTCTGTTAAACCATTAGTTAAATTATGCCTGCTATTATTAGAAGTTTCTCATGGATTGTGATACAACTATAAAAATATTGAAGTTTATCCAAATTTTTACCTGTGCAATTGAGCGCGAATCGCGGCACGCCGCTCGACATAGCTTGCAATCACGCGGACTGAGTCGCGCAAGGTGCTTGGCTCATTTTTGCGGATCACCGTACACCGCTTGAACTCGGCAAGGATAGCGTTGCTTTAATGCTAATTGAGAAAATTTTTGAATTTTTCCCATTTGAACTCCTGATTGAGAAATCTCTTGCTTAACTTTTGCAACTGTGGAGCTAGCCGATTCACGGAGTTTCTTTATATCACAAATGTATAGAATGAGACGCTTTAATCCTCGCGTTAAGCTGCTCCAATTCAACAACCGATGCTGTCCAGTAATGATTCGGGCTAAAGTACTTTTCAAAGTCCTAAATATTTCGGACTTTGAATTATCATACAAGTTCTAAAGTGTCCTAAATCCTAATTTAGAAATTTTTTGCAGATCATTTGGTGCTAAATACTTTAGCCCGAATCACTACTGTCCAGTCGTGTATCAACCAGGCATGAATAGTAACAGTCACAAGTAAAAAAGGAGGTTTGATGAACCTTCAGAAGAATAACCATTAGGAATTCTGGAATTCCTCTAAGAAGTTCAAAAAAAAAACACTAGGGTATCAGGTTTTTTCTACTTGTGGGTGGGATGGTTGGTATAATGGTGACATGAACGGCGGGAGGAATGGTGACGGAATGGTAGAAAAAACGGCAGGATAAATAAATGGCAGAATGAATGGTGGCAATGGATTTCTTGGATTAAATATTTATATTTTAATAATAAACCGAAATTTAATATTGATATAACATTTCTTTATTTTTTATTTTATTTTGCTAAAATAGTGTTTGTGGTTCCGAATATCAGAGTTTCGTTACGCCGCGACTAAAAAGAATAATTCAAATATACAGTGGCTCTCACAGAGATGAAACACGCGATTAAAATTTTCTATAATTTTTATATTAAACAAGTATTCATGTTAAACCTCGAAACCTCTAGTATTTTTTAAAAATAATTGACAATAGATTATTTTTGTGAAACTGAGTGGTTCAAATTTTTCACATTGAACAACTTTTTTTATAAGATAAATCCTAAGTTTGACCACTAATTAAAAAATGGTTTATTCTATAAAATCACAATTTCCATAAAATCGGCTCAAAATTTATTGAGATTTAAGAGCCAAAAGGTCCGAATCTCTGCTAATAAATAAATAGCTCCTAGCAGAGAATCGGACCTTTTGGCTCTTAAATCTCAATAAATTTTGAGCCGATTTTATGGAAATTGTGATTTTATAGAATAAACCATTTTTTAATTAGTGGTCAAACTTAGGATTTATCTTATAAAAAAAGTTGTTCAATGTGAAAAATTTACTAATTGGAAATTTTGATTTGAACTACTCAGTTTCACAAAAATAATCTCTTGTCAATTATTTTTAAAAAATACTAGAGGTTTCGAGGTTTAACATGAATACTTGTTTAGATTAATATAAAAATTATAGAAAATTTTAATCGCGTGTTCCCTTTCTTGTGAGCCATTGGAATCGGATAGGGGTAGAATTAGAGTAGGAGTAAAGGTAAGGGTGTCCGAACACTAAGTCCAAATATCGATATATATCTATATCGATATCATAGATCTACTTTACCTTTCAAATGTTCTTATCAAGAATTATGGGAACTTATCGTTAAATGATCAAATCTTTTAATAGATCATATGCTTGTTATTTTCTTTAATTATTCACATATAATAATAACCAATAACCTTTGTTTATAAAATATTTCTGGTGGCGGCTTGCAATTATGGGCTGCTTTAGCACTTAAAAAGGTATTTTAATATAAAAACCAATCGAGAGTAAACTCAGTTAAGGTTTAATTAAAGCATGGTAAAGCTCAAAAAGGCATCAATTAATCAAGATGCTGAGAATTATCAATGAAGAGATGAAGCACCTTCCAAAAGAACCTCATCCAATAAACAACGATTATCTCAAATATTTTGGAAATCGAGGCAGCACAATTTTGAAAATGCTGTTACTAACTTGAAATGGGATGGATGCTGCACTACATTATCATTTCAACACTCGCCCCAAAGAATCTCTAGATTTTTGTGTTTGAAATCTTAATCTTTAAATTGGAAGATTATCTTACCGTTACAATCTTGTTTATTTAGATCTTAGTATATATTCTAAATGCAATGGTTCTAATACTATTGTTTCTGCGATAGGCACACGCACACATTCTTGTTGCTATTAATGATGCAGATAATATTATTAGCACTGAGCGAAATTAAGTAGTAGGCGAAGTGGGCGGAATTTATTATAGATCAAATAATTTGCCGCATAAATTACTCAGGGTCTGTTACATTTCACCAGATTTGTTTGCGTCTCTAGTTGTTAATCCGTGATCCGTGTAAAAATTTACTAGAACAAGATTCACTATATATGACGTATAATAGTATTAACGTTAATCGATCTACAAAAGTACTTCGCATTTTAAAATAATATTTTCAGCTGTAACAGAAAAAGATGCCTAGTAGGTATCTACGCACTGGTAAAATTTCATTAAAAAATACATTTAACTGCGGATTCCGGAATGCCCCAAAATTAATAGTAAATGTTTTACGCGGATTACGAATTAAAAAAAAAGATTTCGTTTGAGCTAATCGATTGAATCTGAACAAAACGTGAATATTATAAATCACAACGTCTTCATTTGAGCGGAAAGTAAATAAGAATATTGTTAATATTGAAACGTTTCACCCTATAAGTACCGAAACTATCCAAAACTCAATGGAAACGGTTTGTAGATCAAACTGGGCGAAAACTCGTTTCTCACCGAGACACTAACTGCCATTGTATTTGTTCACAAATCGTTTGACGTAATTTTTTTAAACAATGATGACAATGACATGGTCATAATATCAAGTGTTTTTGGCACTTGATTAGAGATTGGAACCGATTATATTTAAAAACCGGACTTTAATATAAATATAAAATCGGATTTGATAAAAAACGATTTATATATATTTGGCCAACTTTTGGTAATTTCGGCTAAATCAGTTGATCAGCCTATACGATTGGTTGAAATTAAAACTAAAATTAATATCAAATTTAAAGGCTGTTAAATAAAATATAATAATATAATACAGTCATACCTCGTTTATATCCCACTTTTTGCTCGGGTACGACTGGATTGTGATAATTGGATTCAAAGACAGAAATTTATTTGGAATGAATCCGATTTCTTAGTTTACTTTTTGAATACATTGCAACTATATATCAAGATTTTGCAAAATATAAATCTAAACGTCTTTAGGTTTATGCATAGTTTCTGACATATGTTTGACTATTCATTATTTTTCTATGACGAGCTTGAATTTTAATGTCGTAATCGATATCGGTATAGCCCAGTGCTGAATCCGCTGTATATACTATATAATAGATTAGCACAGGATTAATATAGGATTTGCAGGATTATATTATCCATAGTGATATATAGCTCTTATCGAAACTTAATCTTTTAAAATCCGATTGTGGGACCGGCTAACATTTGTTATCTGTAATATCGATATGTCGTAATGCAATAAAGTACATGTAATATAAGCATGCATTTTGTTCATTGGAAGTTATCTGTAATATCGATAATATTGATATGTCGTAATGCAGTAAAGTACACGTACTCAATATTCTAAGCATCATATAAGCATGCATTTACGTTACCGTTATTCTTGACCAGTAATACATTAAAAATCACGGTATGGCACTACAAATGTCGGAAAAAGGAGAGAAATGATAATGCAATGCATTACGTACATATAATCAATTTTGAAGATCCTTAAATTAAAGTCGATTCTATGAATCGATTTAACAAAATTAATTGACTCTTAGAATCGATTCCTATTCCTAGAAAGGCAAATTGTAATGTAGATTTACGGTTGTAATATATATATGACATTCATGGCAAGCTAAATTTTTGATTTTCTCAATTAAAAAAAATTGTTATAACGATAATGCTTAGTAAATATAGACTTTCTTGATTATTTTAACGGATTAAATTTTGTGTTAAGAGGTTTAAGCATTTATAATATACAATTTATTTTTGAAATGCATCATACTCATAGCCATTTAAAAATATTTTGTATATTATGCATATTGAGTTCGAAATAACAATCACTGTCGTCTTGTCGTTGTCGTCGTCATGTTAAAATGGGGAATATTTTTAAACATAGAAAAACGTGCAATTTAGAGGAATAACACCAAACTAGGTTACCCTCCCGTAATTTGTGACACTCACCTTATTACCAGATTTATTTCATTGGTCCAACTAGGATAACAAAACGATTGATGTATATACGTATAAAGTTTCTATTCACACAACACACATGTACTTTGAATTCATTGATTCGAGGTCTGTGCGTGTACGTAATCGATATCGATATAGTGTACAAAAATGAAATGCATACGTATTTACCTGTCACAATCATTATTTTTCTATCGCTATGGAGTTATTTATCGCGTGATGATAATCGGGTTTGGATGCATTGAGTAGAAGTTAACGTTAAGTTTTGCATTTTTCATTCTTACCTAATAACCAAATATTTGTTTCAATCCCTAAAAATAAGGCGTAAAAGACACTTAACTAATATAACGATAAGTAAAAATATCACAAGGATATTATTGAAAACCATTTATATATACGCAATGTTTTCATCATAGAAATGAAGATCTTTTAATCCTGATCCTCTAATGAAAAGAACACGATTATGTGTGGCTTGATTTTATTTCATGCGCCATTGATGTGAAATAAAAACTGTTTATATTCTCAGGAAAAGGAAATACAATCAACAAAATCAGTAAAAACAACCACAGAAAACAAAGATTGTTATTAAAATTTGCCACCTATTATACACGTATATGTCACATCAATGTGTGTGGCTGATTAAGAAACAAAATCGGTATAGAACATCCAAACGTTTTTCTAAAGAAAATGCATAACGATGATTTTGCGAGGTCCGTATTTATTTCTTAATTTTTTTTCTAAATAAAGATAATGGTGAAAAAAAGGTCATCAAATAATTACATCATCAATTTCGCGAGAACAAAATATATGGCGTGATAGGCAGTTTTAGTGCATGTATGTCAAATCTAAATCGATTCATTTATGTTGTACACGAATATACAGTCGACTCTCGATATAACGACCATGCAGATTCTATTGAATTTATATTGTTTACAATAGGATCTGCATAGTCGTTATATCGAGAGTCGACTGTATTTATTTTTACGTAGTTCTTTTTTTAATAACATTTTAATATAGCTGGAAATGAATGATACTATGCCCCGATGGTTGTGAACAAATAAAAAACGTTTTTGCTGTTGTCTATATATGCTATAATACAGTGTTGATTCTGTGTAGCTTTAAAAAACGGATATCTGAATTTTTTTTATAAAAACCCCTTTCACCCTCCTTCAGAACACAGGATAATGACTGATGTTGATTTTCTGACCCTCAAATCACAATTTTTTTAAAATAAATTTATCAACGGCCCCTCTTTAATTAATTAATTAAAAAAATGGAATTTTGGTCTTTACTACTCTCTATTACGCAGGTTGGTTGGTGAACCTTTGTTTTTGATGATCATACAATTCTTCTTGTTTAATAAGCAATTCTTGTTTTTTTTTTTGCTAGTCATGTGTACAGATATTGCTTGTCTGTGTTACAGGGTATGTGTGTGCTTATATGGGCATGGTAACTCCAACTGTACAAAAGGTAAAAGCTTAGTTGCTATCGATTCTCGACGTCTGATATTAACCCACCCATCAATCATCAATAAAATTATTTCTTACAACCAATCATCATTGTGTAATAATAATGACAGGGCTTATCAAAATTGATAGTCGCAGTTTTGTTGCCATGCTATCTCTTCACAGAAGTAGCAGTTGGAATTGATATCGACACGCTCATTCGTCTTTGGCCGATAGCAGCGTTCATGGGTCTATACGCTGTGCTAGGCTCGACGATTGGATGGGTCGGTGGAAAAATTCTAGGAACCTCTAAAAAGGAAACTAATTTTATCATCACCGGGATTGTCTTCAATAATCTAACGAGTCTTAGTGTGAGTTTACTGAACAATATTGAACATACGCCAGCCGTACAATATTTGCTAATCGACGAGGATGATATACCAGCTGATGCAATAAGACGTGGTATTTCATTTGCTTTATTGGCCTCTCTTCTCGGTAATTTTCTTCGGTGAGTTTTCTCTTTTGTCCAATTCGAGAAACTTTGTTCTCGGCCAAAGAAAATATTTTGATCTGTACCATTTTCATTCTAGTTGGTCATATGGAACTCATTTGCTGAAAGGAGAGCCAGATCCAATCAATGAAATAGAAGAATCAAGACCATTGTCAACAATATCAACATTGTCAACAATATCAACATCGTCATCGACGCAAACTCCCACTGAAAATACGCCATTGTTTCCTGAAAAAAAAAGTAAATCAATTTCGACTATATTCAAAAATATGATATTGAAAATCGTAACATCTATCCGCGAAATAATGAATCCACCTCTCTACGCTGCGGTCCTTGCCGTAATTGTCGGCACAATACCAACACTAAAAAATCTATTCTTTGGTCATAACGCGATCCTTTACCCGACAATCACCAAGACAATGATCACCCTTGGAAACCTCTCGATTCCAATTACACTTCTGTTACTTGGCACACAACTCAACAACTCTCCGCCAACGGCGAAAGATAGTCAATTGTTCCCAACGATCGGTTGGGTCATGGCGTCGCGATTCTTGTTTGTTCCTATTTTTGGAATTTCCTTGGTCTATTTAACTAGAACATGGTATAGTTATTATGATCCGATGCTTTGGTTCGTGTTGATGCTGCTCTCCGCCAGCCCAACTGCGGTTAATTGCATAAATCTCACACAATTGACCGGAACATTCCAAGAGGAAATGTCTACACTACTATTCTATTCCTATGTTCTCACTGCACCAATATTGACATTTTTGATAATGATTATGATTTTAGTCATCCAGAACGCGAAATTATCTTAGATCATCTTTCAATTAGCCAAATAAGAGATTAGATTATTTTTGAACATTCTTTTAATCTACAAACTACAAACAATATTAAAAAAGGGACAAATTATTTTTTTTCAAAAATGAGTTTTTGCATCCAATATATATATAGATCATAGTTTTGTATAATTGTGAACACTTATTTTCACAATCAATAACGACCGGAATTAAAAATTTAATTATCGGAAAATTATAAATTTATCAATTTGTCCCTTTTCTACTGACTCCACCCCATCTTACTTTTGCCATTATACTTTTAATCTCTTCCAAAGAGAGCTTTCAATTGTAATTTTTGTAGGCTAGCTCTAACCGAATTTAATTTGTATTAATTCCTCTGAGAAAATAAATTTTCTTTACCGCAAACATTTTGTTCTGTTGGCACCATTGTTTGTCTAGCTATGAAAATTGGTGTAACCGTCCCTTGCTGCGATTGTACAGTTTTGAAGTGGTCGAGATTTTTTCGTGAGCATTTGCCTGAGCTTGCATGAGAACAGTTTCTATCTATTTGCTAGAGTTAGTTGGCTGTTTTTTGAATATGAAACCTAATTTAGCAAAAAATCGATCTGAGAAAATTTTTTGTCGAGGAAAAAATAATGGTTAATATCCATGGCGTGATGCATCAATGGAATAACGCATGTTTTACAGGTGAACTGTTATAGTTTATCGTATTAAATTTTTTTTCCTTTGATAGCGATAGTAACAAATGATAGCCAATTATAGAAGACAAATGCATTTGTGAAAATTCGAATTTACTGAAAAGAAAAAAAATCAAGTTTGCCCTGCCCATGTTGTTTTAAACATATCGGCAGCAAATTTACTATGAGATTGATATGCATTATTAGCCAATGAAAATGAATATTAGTTTACATAGTAAATTCATTATATTGATACAAAACGATTGAATGATTTGTGTTTGTGTGGGTATTATGAGGGTGTTAAAAGTCCCAATGTTATCTTCATATGGTTAATAGGTCGACATACCATAACAGTTTTCATGTAACTATTTTTTAGAACTTTATCCCCGGATAATGGACTACACGGTGAAGTTCACTTTAACGAAGGGTCCTGTGTGTTAAAGTGAACTATTAAAAGTCCGTAAATAAAGGGGTTTTTATTATATGGAGAGATTCGTTCAAGTGGACCTTCGTTAAAGTGAACTTCACTGTGTATTTCTTTATGGTTGATTTTAATAAAAGAAATTCTTTATAAATATGTCAAATAATAAAAAATACGCGAAAAGTCATCAACGACTTCAATGAATTAAATTTTTGATAAGGCTGCAAATAGTCATGTTTTCGTTGTTCAATCCTAGCTTACTGTATCTTTACGCAGCAATTCTGCATGTGTAACGAGTATGATTACTTGATTAATAAAATTACTGAATAAATATATGAATTTTAACATATCACATGATTTATTTTGATTGGATAGTTAATTTACATGTGATTTGTAGATCACATCCTCTTTTATTTCATATTATCCATATTTTATTTATAATATCTTAAAAAACCAGAATATAGAAAATTTTTTTCTAATTATATGATTTTTAAGCATATAATATTTAAATTTAATTATATAATCAAATAAGAATGATTATCAAAATAATATCATCTAATTAAATAATTTGCTAAAATTAACTTGTTGAAATTAAATCTGAAATTATTTTAACTTACATGTATTTTATTAGTAGCTGAAATTGTTTTCCAAAATTATTTGGATTTTACAAACCAAAACAAGTATTTCTAGATAATTTTTAAATATTTATTAATATAAGCAATATAACAAAACTGAATTATTTGCCAAAATATTATTTTTTTCAAAAATAATTTAGAAGATCATTTTTATAATCAAATAATCAATTCATATTGCTAATTAATTATGCATTCACACAATATTATTTTTTTACATAATATTATCAATATGCAATATCTTTAAGATATATAATATAATTATCAACAACATTATCAGTAACAAATGAAATTTACTAGCAACAAAATTATTAACAATATTATTTGCTAGCAACAAGTTATTAACAATATAATTTACAGCAACAAAGTTATTAGCAATATAATTTATTAGTAATAATATAAATTATTAGTAACAAAATTATTAGCAACATAAATTGTCAACAACAAAATTATTAGCAATATAATTTATCAGTAATATAAAGTTATTAGCAATATAAAATCATTAGCAAAAAAGTTATCAACAATGTATATTATCATTAATAATATATATTGTTAATAACAAGTTATCAACAATATAATTTGCTGGCAACAAAATTATTAGTAATGTAAGATTACCAGTAATATAAAGTTATCAAAGTCATTAATAATATAAAGTTATCAACAATCTAAAATTATTAACAACAAGTTATTAGTAACAATAAAATTATCAGCAATATATAAAGTCATCAGCAATATAAAGTTATCAATAGTAATTGATTTATACTTGAGTTAACTTGAATCATAATGTTTTTGACTCAAAGAGTACTTAAGTTAGAAAATGAATTAAAATATGAGTTGATTCAAGTCAAGTTTGATTCAAGTTATTAAAATTCTAAAAAAAGTCTGATTCAGTTTGAGCTTGAACTAAATTCAAACCTGATTAAAAAATCCAGTTTAAAAATTCAAATCTAATTAAAAGTCTGGTTCAAATTCAATTTAAATTTTAAATCAGACTCAAACTTGATTAAAAGTTTAGTTCAAGTTCAAGTAAATATTCTAAGTAAGAATGCTTGCCTAAATCCTTTCAGAAAAATATCATCATAATTTTGACGGGTTACATACTAATTGTTAATTAGAATTTTGGCAGGCTATTTACTAATAGTTTATTATAATTTTGACAGAATTTCAGCAAGCAATCTTAATTCTAAGTAAAGTTGTAGATCATAATATGAGCTACAAATTAATATAAGATAGTTAATATTTAGGATGAATACTTAAAAAGTTATATGAATTTAAAAAATAATTTTAATTATTATAATTTTAATCTGCTTTAATTTTAGTATAATAAATATTTATTTTGCTATAGTAATCA